ACACAGAAGGTATTCTATTTTTAGGAATCTGCAACTCTTTGATAGTCCATTTCACTCTCCAAAGACTATTGACTTCTGTTGCTAGAAGGAAGGGAACAAGGGTAGCTTGTGGTAGGACACAAGCACAAAGCCACACTGCGCTTGCTTTGAGGAATTTTAGCAAGCTTTCTTAAGGAATCCTGATCAGTAAAAAGAAGACATTCCCAAAGCACTGGCTCTTATATTCCTCTTCATCCCAAAGTCCTCCAATTATTAACAGCACCAAAAATAAACTCCAAATAATCCAAAAAAGTCTCTGGTTTTACTTCTTAACCATACTTTTTTTTTTGAGACAAAGTCTTGCTCTGTCCCCCAGGCTGGAGTGTAGTGGCACAATCTTGGCTCATTACAACCTCTGCCTCCCGGTTCAATGAATTCTCCAGCCTCAACCTCCTGAGTAGAGGGGCTACAGGCACACGCCACCACACCTGTCTAATTTTTGTATTTTTTTTTCTTTGAGATAAAGTTTCATTCTTGTTGCCTAGGCTGGAGTACAGTGGTGCAGTCCCGGCTCACTGCAACCTCCGCCTCCCGGGTTCAACCAGTTCTCCTGCCTCACTCTCCTGAGTAGCTGGGATTACAGGCATGTGCCACCATACCCAACTAATTTTTTGTATTTTTAGTAGAGATGGGGTTTCACCATGTTGGGCAGGCTGGTCTCAAACTCCTGACCTCAGGTGATCTGCCCACCTCGGCCTCCCAAAATGCTGAGATTACAGGTATGACCCACAACACCCGGCCTAATTTTTGTATTTTTAGTAGTGATGGGGTTTCGCCTTGTTAGCCAGGCTGCTCTCGACCTCCTGACCCCAGGTGATCCACCTGCCTCAGCTTCCCAAACTGCTGGGATTATAGGCATGAGCTGTTGCGCTCAGCCAGCCATACTTTCAATAGCCAAAACTTACTACTCCACTTTTTTTTTTTTGAGATGGAGTCTAGTTCCATTGGCCAGGCTGTAGTGCAGTGGTGCCATCTCAGCTCACTGCAACCTCTGTCTCCCAGGTTCAAGCAATTCTCCTGCCTCAGCCTCCCTAGTAGCTGGGATTATAGGCGTCCACCACCACACCCAGCTAATTTTTGTATTTTTAGTAGAGATGGGGTTTCACTGTGTTGGTCAGGCTGGTCTCAAACTCTTGACCTCATTATCCGTCCATCTCAGCCTCCCAAAGCGGTGGGATTATAAGCGTTAGCCACCGCACCCAGCTTACTACTCCACTTTTGAGAGACTTGAACAGACAAACCAAATCTTACACAGTACCTGGCACATAATAAGCATTATCCAATGAATGTATAATAAAACAGTAGTTAATGAAAGGTTCACTCGGCCCAGCCATCTCAGGGAAGGTTTTGGAGGAGAGGTGCCATGTTTCTTTTATACTCTTGTCTAGCCAAGACACTACCAGTACCAAGAATTGATTGAGACCATGTTCACATAAGAGAAGAAGTAGCTCCCCCTTCAGGTCTGGAGCCCTGGTAATTCTGTAATTGAGAGATTCAAACTTACTTAACTGGTATGGTGAATCATGGATACCATCCTCAACTTTCAATTAGATGCTGCACTGTGGTCCTCTCACAGCTCTGCTTGGATCTCAGATTAGATTCCAGTCTATCTGTAATGTCCTCCTGGCAGAGGCAGCCACCCTCGTGACTTTCAGCTGCTAGTTATTACTTTTTTGTGACATTTCTCAAATGTTCATGATTATTTTCTCTATCCCCAGGAAAACCAAGGAAGAGAACAAGACAAATATCTTGTGTGAAGGCCACTAAGAAAAGTGATAAAAACAAGATCCTTTCATAACCACTCTTTTGCTTAACACAACTGAGCTCAAGTGATTCTTTTTTAGATTAGCAAAGCAGTCTAAAATGTCATTTTTCATTAGTGTCATCTTACATAATAATCTGTCACTTTTGAAATCTCTCTGCCCCTTCTGTTCCCGCATATCAGTTGGTTAAAAGTCCTGTCGATTCTCTCTCTACAAAGGGATTCTGTCCTTTTTTCCTGACTTCAGAGCACCTATTTGGTTCAGTGGTTGACAGGATTTGCCTTATCTAATCTATTGTAACCATCTTCCTCTGCTATGTCCTTCCACAATTCATACACATGCTCCATACTGTAGCCAAGATTCTGCTCCTAGTGCTAGAATCTGTTATTATTACTCCTGTGTTGCTTTTTCTTTAAAAGAAAAAGCTCTTTTTCTTTTAAAAAGCTACCAGCAGCCATTATTTCAGGAAAGCACTCCTCCATCATCCTATTAATAATCTTGCTCAGTCCACCGGGTTCCAGGGACTAACCCCGTCCACACCCCAACCCCCACATCCCCTGAGACAGGCACAGGATCCAGGCCATCTGCTGTGGGCCATGTGACTGGTCTGAGATTGAGAAATGAATCATGTGAATGGTCCCATACTGGCCAAGCAAAGTCCTCACTGGAGCCTTCTGCCAACACGGTCAAGAAAGGCACTCTCTTCTCAGTGACCACAGGCTTCAAGGACTGCAGAGGCTGAACCTGTCTGGGACACTCCCACAGAGAACAAAGCCACACCGAGCCCAGCAGAGGTCAAAGATCATGAGAAGCCAGAAGGAGGAAGGGGCAAAGGATCCAGCAAAAGTAAAGACATCACTGGCATCCCTGACCCTGCCAAGCTTCTGTCCTGCATTTACCAGTTATGTGAGCAAATAAATGCCTTTTTTTCCTTGTATTCTGAATTGTCTTCTTGACACTTTTGTGTGCCAAATGTATCATAATGCATATAATCCCACTTAGAACTTTTAATAGTTTATTACTTCCTATAGAAAAAGCCAAAAACCTTAGCTCAATATTCAAGTTCCTCAACAAAAGAGACCACCTTAGCTATTCAGCTTTAACTCTCCTGTCCCAGCTTCAAGCAGTCTTTCAAAAATATTAAAATAACGATAATCTTAGAATCATTAACCTTTGCTATAGCCACCACAGACCCTTTGTTCAGAATACTTCCTGAATTGGAATTATTCTATTCTCTCCTTCACTATACTAAGTCTTCTAGACCCAGCATATATTAAGCACGAATATCATACCTTACATTACAGCTTTCATATACACACATATCTCTCCTTGCAGAAAAGAAACACCTCTTTCTAAAGTTTAATCTCTAGCACCTGACATCTGGTACAGGCAGCAGACACTCCACAAATGTTTACAGCTCTGGTCAGAAATAAGAACTAAGGATTGACACCTATTAGACTCTTAATTCTTCCTTATATTAGAATTTATCAAATTTAACCATATCATCATACAACCCAGCAATTACACACTTGGGATATTTATCCCAGAGGAAGAGATATATGCTCACACAGAAACCGTACATGAACATTTATAGCAGTTTTATCATAACTGCCCCAAAGTGGAAACAACTTAGATGTCCTTCAACAAATGAATCATTCAATAAAGTGTTGTACAACCATACACTGAAACACTACGCAACAATAAAAAGGAACTACTAAGATATGGAACAACAAAATAAATCTCGAGGAAATTATACTGACTGAAAAACAATGCCAATACCAAAAGGCTCCATATTGTGTAATTCCATTTAAATAATAATCTTGAAATGACAAAATTATAGAAATAGAGAACAGATTACTGATTGCCAGGGATTAGAGACAGGGTACAAGGTGGGAAGTGAGGTATGTGTTTGTACAACATCCCAAGGAATCCTTTCAGTGATGAAAATGTTCTGCACCTTGACTATATTAATGTCAATATTTTGATTGTAATACTAAAATTGTGTTTTGCAAGATGTTACCTTTAGAGGATACTGGATAAGTGGTACACAGGATCTCTATATTGTTTCTTACAACTGCCTATAAATCTATAATTATCTCAAAATGAAAGGTTTAATTTTTACAAAAACTATCCATATTTCAAATCTTAACCAAAAGCACTCAGACCTCAGTGTTACAGTACCTCACAAATAATCATAGTTCCAAACAACAGATCTGACTCTAATTAGTAATACAATAGGGTTTTGGCTACAAGGGGTGAATGACTCTCTCAAAAAGAGGTGAAGACAGTCATTCTGGCCAACGTGAGAGAAGAGATTTCTTTACATAAGAAAGCTATTTTTCAGAAAGTGGGATGGCAAAAGAAATTACAAATACTAACACAAGAACTGTCCTTGTCCAAAATACTGAGCTGGGTACCCCAAGTGATAGTCCATCTCTACAAGCTAGGGCTTTCATGGGGAGGAATAACAGCCTCTGTGAAATCTGATCTGTTTGCCATTTAGATCCATGTGACTCACGGAGGCTGGCTGCACTCATATCTAAAAATACAGGAAATCCGCAGCCTAAGCAAATTTGGCTCATAGACTCATGGGCTTTTGATTCAAACACTGCACATTTGGAGACAGTGGTTTTATATTTACATCAGCTAGAGGCAACGGAGGTTCCACTGCTCAAGTGACAGGTATTCAGTTGAAATCTAGAAGCAAAAAGGATCAGAAGATTGATCTGCTTATAAACACTTTATCTGAGAGTTGCATAACACCTGCTCAGTATCAGGAACATGAACTCTGAGGTCCTCTGGAGCCTAGAATGATGCCTTTCCTCGAGCACTGGGTGTGTCCCACTAAATACCTGTCCCAAAAGAGAACGGAAGGAGTCATGAGCTATTAAAGAGAGTAGGGTGTGGCGGTCACATGAGTGAGCGAGTACTACTTGAGCCAGAGGCTCTGAGCCTGCAGACACAGAGGGTGTGGTGTCTGGGCCCTGGGATTTTTTATTTTGTCCAGTCCTAACCAGAACCTTTCGCAGCAGTGCCTGAAGCCATGACATCTGACCAACGGGGCAGCTGATTTCTAGTGACAGCTCTTGGACACCCCGATTCCTTTGCCACAGGCTGTATCTACTCACAGACCCGGTGACTTTTCAGAGTGGGCCCCCCACCCAGAGACCTGCCTGGCAGAGCCACTGCCACACTTACCCATCAGGACACTCAGCAACTTCTGCACTCTGGAGTTGACCCCCACAATTCGGTACAGCCCTTGCTCGTTGATCCCTGAGGAAAGAAACAGCGATGATTTAATTAGAAGCACGTCAGAACACAAGTCAGGCGAACTCAGCCAAATGCACTTCTTTTTTTTCATTTTCTCAGTCCTTCTAAAAGCTGCTCTAATTAAAGTCCCCTGTCATTCAGCTCAGCTCTTAGCAAAGGAGTGGGATTTGGTACAGCTGTCTAGGATTTCACGGATGTGCTGCACACTTCAGCCCTCATGTTAGTTCAGTCGTCAGAGGCGAAAGAAACTTTCCTTTTCTCTTGCCAAAGGCAGCATCTGAAGAGTTCTAAAAGATGCAAAATGTGTACTTTTAAACATGTCATATTTAACCAATTTTTAAAATTAAAATGCCAAAAATGGATGATTAAAAATTCATACAACAGAAAAAGATACTTTATAATCTATTTTTACATATAAAATGAAAATATTGAGGTGTAAGAACAGTTTTAACTTTACAGAATGTTAGCCAAGACTGAGAAATTAGAAGATCCATTCATTTATAATACAAATATTCTTTATCAAAAAAATACCACCTTTATTTCATTCAACCCAAGGAACTGTACAATTAGATGAGTAAGGGTTTACTTTTAAATTAAACATCTCAACAATAATCAAAAACCAATCCACTGCAGTGTTTCTGTTCATTGAAATACATGGATTAGATCATCACTGTACCAGTTACAAAAGAAGGCCATTTTGACCAGGTGATGTGAAATGATTTTTCTCCTGTTAGTCCTAGGCCCATCATATCTAACCCCTCTCAAGTAACAGAACCCCGGCTTCCTATTTTATTCCTCTGATGTCCATTCTCCAACCAGTAGCCAAAGTGAACTGTCTAAAGTATAAATCAGTTTATACCACCTCCTCTCTTAAAACTCTCCAATAGCTTCCCATTGCATTTAGACCATAATCAAAATGACTTACAATGGCCTATCAGGCCTATACTATTGAGCACTGACTACCTCTGATTGCATCATCAACCACATGCATTCTGCTCCACACACTGGCCTTCCTGTCACCCCAACATGCCAAGCTCACGGCTCCACCCATAGCCTTTGCTCCAGCTGTTTCCTCTCCCTAGACTGCTCTTCTGCCACAGTTTTTCATCATTCAGATCTCAGCTTAACTGCAACTGCTTCAATCTAATGGATCCCACAATCAACACTACTGGTCAGCCGGGCGCGGTGGCTCAAGCCTGTAATCCCAGCACTTTGGGAGGCCGAGGCGGGTGGATCACGAGGTCAAGAGATCGAGACTATCCCGGTCAACATAGTGAAATCCCGTCTCAACTAAAAATACAAAAAATTAGCTGGGCATGGTGGCACGTGCCTGTAATCCTAGCTACTCAGGAGGCTGAGGCAGGAGAATTGCCTGAACCCAGGAGGCGGAGGTTGCAGTGAGCCGAGATCGAGCCATTGCACTCCAGCCTGGGTAACAAGAGCAAAACTCCGTCTCAAAACAAACAAACAAACAAACAAAAAAACACTACTGGTCATGTCCTTAACCTGTCTTCTTTCTTTATAGCAGTTAACAATATTTGAAATTATCTTTTTTATTTGCTTCCTTGTTTTTCTCCCCACAATAGAATGTAAATAGTAATTGTGTCCTGTTCACCATTATATTCTCAGCCCCTGGATCAGTATATGGTACACAATAATAAACAAAACATTAAGTTTATATTCCATCAAGGCCAGCACAAAACACTTGAGAGCCAAAACACAATCTTCCAAAGAAATCTGGGAAAGGACCAGTTCTGTAGTACTTTCAGCAAGACCTATGTAGATGTGGAACTAATGAATAAAAAGAAGTAGTCTGGAATGATAGGATTTTACAGCTAAAAAGGACCTGTAAAACCATGTACATCATTCTGCATGATTCATGGACTAGGAGCCCCTGGTCAAAAACTAAATGATGGGTCCCAGGTTACTCAGTGACAGAAAATAACATGTCACCTTGTGGGCTTGAAAGGTCTGAGGCATCTCTACTTCTATCCTTGTGCTTTCCCAGGACTTTACACAATATCACCTCCCACTGGACAATTGTGGACAAATCCCAGAGAGTATGGGAGGTCTGTTCATTTCTGGTCACCATAAATATGTATGCACCTACACACACTGCAATAGGGAGATACCCACTTTCTTCAACTATTTATGCTAAAATGGCACCTAACTCATACTGTCCTTATTTCTTCTTCGTGCTCAATGAAGACTTTCTTAGAAGTTAAAACACATCAAATCCATTTCCATTTTAGAGGGGGGAAAAGGAACGTGTGCACCTTTTCTCCTACTTCTTGTATATATTTTGTAGTTTTACATGAGAAAAAGTTGTCCTTGTGAGCTACTGGTCTGCACTTACCACAGACTTTATGGACAATTTTAAATGACTAGGTTTCCCTTTTATTTTGGCTGCGGAAAACTGAGACACAAACAGTTGGCCCAGCTCAAGCAAGTATATGAACTTCATCCGGGAGAGATTTTTATTTTGGACTCGCTTTTGGCTCCATTTTTGTGCCTCTACCTTTAAACTCTGTACCTTTTAATCCCAGTCTTTATTTTTAAATGGAAAAAAAAAGGTAAATTAAAACTCCTGTTGAAAAATTCGGCTACAGGCAGTGGCTCACACCTGTAATCCCAGTGCTTTGGAAGGACGAAGTGGGCAGATCACTTGAGGTCAGGAGTTCAAGACCAGCCTGGACAACATGGTGAAACCCTGTCTCTACTCAAAGTACAAAAATTAGCTGGGTGTGGTGGTGGGCACCTGTAATCCCAGCTACTCTGGAGGCTGAGGTAGGAGAATCACTTGAACCCGGGAGGCCAAGGTTGCAGTGAGTGTAGATTGCACCACTGCACTCCATTCTGGGCAACAGAGCAAGACTCCATCTCAAAGAAAAGAAAAAAGAAAAATTTACCTTACTAACAAAAACTTCAAAAAGACTTAGAAGCTACAGTTAAGGTAAACAGATGACTCAAAGGGAAACAGTAAAAATCAGCAGAGAGCCACTGAGAACACAATGAAACCTGTGCAATATGAACGCTCCTCTCCCCACTGCTCCCAGAATGGGCTCATACTGAGCAGCTGCTTTGTAACTTGCATTTTTTAAATAATATAAATAATTTTTTAAATGCTGTATGTTAAAAAGTATATTTCCATTGCATTGTTAGTGATTCATAGTTTTTTATTATACAGATGTACCTTTGTTGATTTAACCCATTTGTGAGACATTTGATTTTGTACCTTAACACCACCACTGTGTAAACATCCTATGGCTCAACCTGCCCCACATCCTTATTTCCTCAAGACCAATTCCCAGAAATGTCACCTACTTCCACTTTATATTCTCTAGATATATCTCACATACCTTAAGAGCTGCCTTAACTCTTTAAGGGAGGTACAGCAGAAATAACCGAACATTTTTAAAAATGTTTCCACACATTACAACTGTTTTGGAAAGAATATCTTTTGACAGTATATATAAAGGCAGGTTTTAAAATTCTTTCTCTTCCCTCTACTTAATGCTTCATAGTTCTTATTTTTTTTAAGTGTATATCTTTTAAAGTGTGTATGTCTCAACTCTCTCTTCCCTCTACTGAATGCTTCACAGTCCTTATTAATTTTTTTAAAGTGTGTATGTCTCAGCTGCTAAGAGATATGAACCCTGCTTTAAAAGGGAATTTCTTTCAACTACTTAAAAAGGGCTGGTAGGCTGAGAGGCTGTAGAGTAAATAAGATTCACATCTCTGACAACGGTTCAAATCAAATCCAGTGGAAAGATGCTTAACAGCTTTTCTCAGGGGTGAGATAGACAAGTACACTCAAGGCTCCAAACTGCTGGGACCGAGGACTCTCCTTCGTGGCAGTCTCTGAAGAAGGGATGGAGACCATCAGGATGAACCATCTTCCCTGAGCTTAATGTCCTGCTCCTACAGACCTGGAAAAGGTCAGCGTGCAACATGGGCCTAACCCCTTCTCTCTACCTGGGTGGTCCGCAGGGACTAGCTCCCCAGAGCACCTTAGCTTCACAGACCGCAAGACGTCTGCCAGAGAAAATTCAGGGTGTCTGTGAACTTAAACAGGAAAACAAATACATCTTGATCTTCACTAACCTATAACTGACATTAAGCTTTTCATTCCATTAAGGATGTAAGCAAAAAATCACAGGAGCATGAGTGGTACCTGCAACTTGGTCGGAAATCACAGATATTTTCATAACACATTACAGATATTCTGGATATCGTGAAATATCACTGCTCCCAAATTATGTTGGTTTTCAGACCCACTACTATCACTTATAAAGTGTTAACAAAGAAACACATGGATCATGACACCCTGTGTTTTTAATATTTTAAAAATTGAATTTCAGTAACGGTTTCTACAATCATATGTATTTCAGATATTTAAAACATTTTTCTGATCAGCCAAAAAGTTAGTGACTCAAAATCAGTAAGAACCTCCTGCTTGAGACCAAAAGGACTTGTGGAAATCTACTGACAATGGCACTTGGGGAGCTAATGAGTCACTTAAAGTCAGGAAACAGCAGGTAGCAGGTCTGACTCCTCACCAGATGCATGACCTTCCACGACAACAATGCCATCTGTTAAACTACTTTACCTCTGGTTTCCACAGCATGGATGCATTTCCTGATTATGCTGAAACCAATGCTGTCCAACTGCGCAGCTGAAAGAGCAAGAGAAGGGCAGTCAAGTCACTGGCCATGAAACTCAACCTCAGGACAGGGCTTACCCAATCCAGGATGAATCAATCGCATGTTGTGGCTACATAGCCCTTTAATTTTTCCCAATAACAGTACAGGAATAACATCATAACAATAACAATAGCTGGCATTGATTGAGAGCTTTCCATAGGCTAGGTTCAGTTTTTAAGTGCCTTGCACGTATTATCTCATTTAGTTATCATAGTAACCTCAAATTCTAGGAATCTATAAAATTATCTTTTAATTTACAGGCAAAGAAACAGCAGCACAGGGTGATAGGTGCCTTTACATTGCTTTGCTATTAACAGAAGCTGTAGAACTAAATGCAGTCTCCTTCAAAAAGTACAAATTGGAGGTTCCAAGATGGCTGAATAGGAACAGCTCCAGAGTGCAGTTCCCAGCAAGAACAATGCAGAGGGTAAGTGCCCACCACATTTCCAAACAAATTTTCACTGCCCACAGACCAGGAGATTCCAGGGCTGAAAAGCACCAGGAGTTTTCAGCATGGCAGTTTCAGCTGGTACCGGTTTGGTGCATGGAAACTAACACAAATCTGGGCAGCTGTTTCAACAGGCGCCTAGAATACCTGGGAGACAGAGCCGCCCATTCAACTGAAAGGGAGGGGGCTGAGACAGGAAGCCAGGCAATCTGGCTCAGCAGGTACCACCCCCACAAAACAAGCAATCTGTAATGCTCTGGATTGAGAGTTTCGCAGCAAACCAAGCTAGACCCAGGACGGTCCAATTCAGTGTGGGGGGGAAGGGTGACCCCCACTACTGAAGCAGTCTGCCACTACCAAGGCAGTTCACACAGCAGCTGAGCAGAGCCTGCGACAGCTCAGCAATACCTCTGCCGGCAGACTGTGACTAGACTACTCCATGTGGGGAAGGACATCTATGAAAAACGGCAGCAGCATGACAGGAACTTATGAATAAAGCTGACCTTCCTAGGACAGAGCACTGGGAAAAGAGGCAGTTATGAGTTCCGCTGTAGCAGACTTAAAGGTACCTGCCCAGCAGCTCTGCACAGAACAGCGGAGCTCCCAGCACAGCACTTGAGCTTCTATAAGGGACAGACTGTCTCCTCAAGCAACTCCCTGACCCCCACATACCCAAAGAGACACCTCATAAGGGAGAGCACAGGCCAACATCTGACAGGTACCCTTCTGGCACAAAGATAACAGAAGAAGAAACCAGCAGTAACCCTTACTGTTCTGCAGCCCCCGCGGGTGATCCACAGGCAAGCAGGGTCTGGAGTGGACCTCCAGCAGTACTGCAGCAGAGGGACCTGACTGTTAGAAGGAAAACTAAGAAACGAAAAGAAGTAACTTCATCATCAACAAAAAGGATGTCCACTCAGAGACTCCATCTGAAAGTCACCAACTACAAAAACCACAGGTAGATAAAGCCACTAAGATGGGAAGAAACCAGTGCAAAAAGGATGAAAACACCAAAAACCAGAATGCCTTTCCTCCTCCAAAGGATCACAATTCCTCACCAGCTAGGGATCAAAGATGGATGGAGAATGAATCTGAAGAATTGACAGAAACAGGCTTCAGAAAGTGGGTAATAACAAACTTCTCAGAGCTAAAAGAACATGGGCTAACACAATGCAAAGAAACTAAGAACCTAGAAAAAAAGGTTAGCTGGCTAACTAGAATAAACAGCTTAGAGAAGAATATAAACAACTTGATGGAGCTGAAAAACACAGCACGAGAACTTCACGAAGCATACACAAGTTTCAACAGCTGAACTGACCAGGCAGAAGAAAGGATATCAGAGACTGAGGATCAACTCAGTGAAATAAAACAAGAAGCCAAGAATATAGAAAAAAGAGTAAAAGAATGAACAAAGCCTCCAAGAAATAAGGGATCATGTGAAAAGACCTAATCTACATTTGATAGGTGTACCTGAATGTGATGGAGAGAATGAATCCAAGCTGGAAAACACTCTTCAGGATATTATTCAGGAGAACTTCCCCAACCTAGCAAGCTAGGCCACCATTCAAGTCCAGGAAATACAGAGAACACCACAAAGATATTCCTCAAGAAGAGCAACCCCAAGGCACATAATCGTCAGATTCAGCAGGGTTGAAATGAAGGAGAAAATGCTAAGAGCATCCAGAGAGAACGGTCGGGTTACTCACAAAGGGAAGCCCATCAGACTCACAGTGGATATCTCCACAGAAACCCTACAAGCCAGAAGAGAGTGAGGGCAAATATTCAACATCCTTAAAGAAAAGAACTGTCAATCTAGAATTTCATATCCAGCCAAACTAAGCTTCATAGGCGAAGGAGAAAGAAAATCCTTTATAGAAAAGCAATTGCTGAGAGATTTCGTCCTCACCAGGCCTGCCTTACAAGAGATCCTGAAAGAAGAACTAAACAAGGAAAGGAACAACCAGTACCAGCCACTCCAAAAATGTACTAAATGGTAAAGACCATCAACACAATGAAAAACATGTGTCAACTAACAGGCAAAACATCCACCAAGCATCAAAATGGCAGGATCAAACTGACATAACAATATTAACCTTAAATGTAAATGGGCTACATACCCCAATCAAAAGACACAGACTGGCATATTGAATAAACAGTCAAGACCCATCAGTGTGCTGTATTCAGGAAACCAATCTCATGCTCAAAGACATACATAGGCTCAAAACAAAGGGATGGAGGAAGATTCATCAACAAAACGGAGAGCAAAAAAAAGTAAGAGTTGCAATCCTTGTCTCTGATAAAATGGACTTTAAACCAACAAAGATCAAAAGAGACAGAGAAGGGTATTACATAATGGTAAAAGGATCAATGCATCAAGAAGAGCTAATGATCCTAAATATATATGCACCCAATACAGGAGCACACAGGTACATAAACCAAGTACTTATTGACCTACAAAGAGACTTAGACTCCCACACAATAATAGTGGGAAACTTTAACACTCCACTGTCAATATCAGACAGATCAATGAGACAGAAAATTAACAAGGATATCCAGGACTTGAACTCAGATCTGGACCAAGTGGACCTAATAGACATCTACAGAAATCTCCACCCCAAATCCACAGAATATACATTCTTCTCAGCACCGCATTGCACCTACTCTAATATTGACCACATAATTGGAAGTAAATCACTCCTCAGTAAATGGAAAATCATAACAAACCATCTCTCAGACCACAGGGCAATCAAATTAGAACTCAGAATTAAGAAACTAATTCAGAACGACACAGCTTCATGGAAACTGAACAACTAGCTCCTGAATGTCAACTGAATAAACAATGAAATGGAGGCAGAAATAAAGATGTTCTTTAAAACCAACGAGAACAAAGACACAACGTACCATAATCTCTGGGACACATTTAAAGCAGTGTCTAGAGGGAAATTTATAGCAATAAATGCCCACATGAGAAGTGAGGAAAGATCTAAAATCAACACCCTATCGTCAAAATTGAAAAAGCTAGAAGAGCAAGATGAAGAAAACTCAAAACCTAGAAGAAGACAAGAAATAACTAAGATCAGAGCAGAACTGAAGGAGAGAGAGACACAAAGAACCCTTCAAAAATTCAAAAATCCAGGAGCTAATTTTTTTAAAGGATCAACAAAATAGACCACTGGCCAAATAAATAAAAAAGAAAAGGGAGAATAATCAAATAGATGCAATAAAAAATGATAAAGGGGATATCACCATTGATTCCAGAGAAATACAAACTACCATCAGAGATTACTACAGACAACTCTATGCACATAAACCAGTAAACTTAGAAGAAATGGATAAATTCCTGGACACTTGCACCCTCCCAAGACTAAACCAGGAAGAAGCTGAAACCTTGAATAGGTCAATAACAAGGGCTGAAGTTGAGGCAGCAGTTAATAGCCTACAACCAAAAAAAGTCCAGGTCCAGATGGGTTCACAGTTGAATTCTACCAGACTGTAAAGAGCTGGTACCACTCCTTCTGAAACTATTCCAAACAATACAAAAAGAGGGACTCTTTCCCAAATCATTTTATGAGATGAACATCATTTTGATACCAAAACCCGGCAGAGACTCAACAAAAAAAGAAAACTTCAGGCCATTATCCATGATGCAAATAGATGTAAAAATCTTCAACAAAATACTGGCAAACCAACTGCAACAGCACATCAAAAAGCTTATTCATCACAATCAAGTAGGCTTCATTCCGGGGATGCAAGGCTGGTTCAACATATGCAAGTCTATAAATGTAATCCACCACATAAACAAAACCAGAGGAAAAAAGCAAGATTATCTCAATAGATGCAGAGAAGGCCTTCAACAAAATTCAACAGCCCTTTATGCTAAAAACTCTCAATAAACTAGGTATCAAAGGAACATATCTCAAAACAATAAAAGCTATTTACAACAAACCTACAGCCAATATCATACTGAATGTGCAAAAACTGTAAGCATTCCCTTTGAAATTTGGCACTAGACAAGGATGCCCTCTCTCACCACTCCTATTCAATATAGTATTGAAAATTCTAGCCAGAGCAATTAGGCAAGAAAAAAAATAAATAAATAAAGAGTTTTCAATTAGGAAAAGCGGAAGTCAAATTGTCTCTATTTGCAGATGACATTACTGTACATTTAGAAGACCCCATCATCTCAGCCCAAAATCTCCTTAAACTGATAAGCAACTTCAGCAAAGCCTCAGGATATAAAATCAATGTGCAGAAATCACAACCATTTCTATACACCAATAACAAACTGAGAGCCAAATCAAGAGCAAACTCCCATTCACAATTGCTACAAAGAGAATAAAATACCTAAGAATATAACTAACAAAGGATATAAAGGACCTCTTCAAGGAGAACTACAAACCACTGCTCAAGGAAATAAGAGAGGACACACAGATGGAAAAACATTCCATGCTCATGGTTAGGAAGAATCAATATCATGAAAATGGCCATACTGTCCAAAGCAATTTATAGATTCAACACTATTCC